GTATATCTCACAAAGAAAACCCAATTTTGTCAGTATCATGAGAATGAAGCAAAATGGTTCAAACCTTTGACTCTCCAGTCTGTTTTAGTTTGTCTGCGTGTTTTGTGACACTTTGCAAGAAAAGCATGTGTTTGATCGTGCGTTCCAACAGTGCATCAATGCTACACTGAAATCACATGATCGTCAAGTGAAGGCATTAGTACATGAAAACTTTTTATAATACGAGATCGGACAATAATAAAGTAATACAATAATAGAGTAAAGAGGATGTCTAACTGTTGTAAGGAGGTATCACCTTTGCCCCATTAGGCACAATTTCTCGCAGTTCCTTAACGCGATCTTGGATCATTTGCCGATCTTTTGGCCTGGGTCTTGGATTCTCTCCTGGTTTAAGCCTTTTGCGACTTGTCTTGCTCATTTCGTCTGGCTTTTTAGAATAGCCTGTTGAAACACTGCTTGACGGCTTTGTGTCATGGCCACTTTCCACCCATGAACTGGTTTGTGATCCATAAATTGAACTACTTTGAGAATGCATTCCTGTGTTTTCTTTGGAGCACTCATATTTGAATGAATCAGAACTTGTTGCTCCTGATTTTGAAAGTGTCTTGGGAGGCCCATAAAGCTCTCCCTGAATTTGACTGGAGAACCCAACTCGGCCATAGGAATATGAAGCATTAGGGGCAGAGGAGCTGCTCAAATTAGTCAACGTCGTCCGACAAGAAAGGTTGTTTTCCATGCTCTGCTTAGTAGAACGATTGGATACCATAGTCTCTAAGATACGGTCAAAGCCAGTCATGGAGAACATACCACTATCTGAGTTTCCTAGGTTGACTGTAAAAGAAGCATCCTGACTTATTTTAGAAGTAGAGCAATTACTAATACAATCCATTGTGTTTGAGTCTGGTCCTTTGCTTTGCTCATCACTCCAGCTTCCATTTAGTAGTCTGTTTTTAAAATCAGCACCCAAAACATCAAATAAGTCATCCCCTGATTGACTTTGGATACGCACATCTTCATATTTGGCATTGTCAAATAAGGGATTCTGCACTCCATGTTCATGTTTTTCACCATATTCATCTTGAATGTACTCACTTGAACTTGGTTGCTCATCCCGCGTTGACATAATGCCGAGTGCTTGAAACAAATCATTTTCTACCATTCTTTTGCTCCCGTCCAACAAAAACTGTGTGCCTTGGCCATCCAAAGAATGATTGTTAATTACATGGTTCACAACATCATATGAAGAAGATGCCTTCAATTCAGAAGAACCAATCTGAAGCCCATTTCCAGTAGAGTCTGTGCAAGAGATGGTTTTGTGCGGTGGTCTGATGGCATCTAAGAAAAAATTGGGACTCGGCATTGATTTCTGATACTTGTTCACTTCTTTGTACAATTCAGTTACTCCAGTGGATGCAAGAACAGTATTTTCATGAAAGTTGGATGTAAGAATATCACCGATTCTTAACAGAGTTGATTTGCTTTTCGTAAGACTATTTTCACCAGAGATCTGCTGTTCAGTCAATCTTATGCTGCCACTATCTAGAGTTAATGAGCCAACAGAAGATTCCTGACAAAATGGTGGCCTTGGAATGTGCAACGAAGCCTGTTGCTTCATCCATACGTCAGGATTTTTTGGATTTACCTCAGCTTTGATCACATTATTTGTTAGCTGGCTGTTTGTAGACATGTATGATGTCACTTCTGGGGAAATTTTCTTGTGAAAGTGGTCATCATGGTATTCGGGAAAACGTCTAGTGATATTAGAGGCTTGAAATGTTGAATCACTAGACTGCACACTTTCCTGAATTTGTCCAGCCAAAGAAGAAGAAGTTTGACCAATGAAACTCTGTGTCTGAATTGAGTTAGCACTATAGTTGCAGCTATCTATTATTGAAGAAGAGTTCATTACTTTGGCTCTCCGACAAGATTCCATTGAGACACAACTCCCAAGATAAACTGGTCTGGCTGTAATTGGGGCAGGTTCTTTTGTTGCATTTTCATCAGATAATAAAACCCCAGGAACACACCCTAATTGACTTATTAGGGTTCTCACATCCTCCACAAATCCCATATTCTCCGGTATCTGAGGCAACAAAAATCACCAGTTTTCACTTCTTGTAATATTTGAACACGTCAAGCACGGTTGAAAAATACAGACAAAGAAATTATCACCCCTGGGCACATCTGGCCTAGCACTAATACTAAAACATTAGAAAATATTTGACATTGACAGAATCACTTTATGCTAACTGCATTATATTCACGCTAATATGCAACATAAAATGTCTACCAACTTACCATATCTGGCCTCCTCTCCCCTAACTTTAAGGAATACAAGACCTTTCTGTTTGAAGTTTGAACTTGGAATTGATTACTTTCAGTTTCTATAGCCTAATGATTTATTTATTTAAAACACGTAACCAGAGCATAAGCGGCTTGAAAGCTGACCGAGTAACACAAAGCTTTTCATTTCACAGTGCTTGGGGAATGCAAGTTTGATCAACGATTGGAGAGAAAAGGTGGAAGAAAGGGCTGTAACAGTGGGTGAAAACTTGAGATTTATTTTGGTTTGAAGATTTTAAAATGGCAAGAAAGAAAAATACTTACATGCAAGTATGAACCAAATTGAACAACGCCGTGAGGAAGAAGAGGAATAACTGAAATTGTCTGCACAACAATGATATATAAAGAATTTAATCAAATTACACAAAATAAAGAAATATCAATGAAATCAAGGTTATTATACCTGGATGCCAGATGAAAATTGCTGAGAAAGCTCCTTCAGAACCTAACAAAACCACCAGATATGGAAGCAATAGTAAGCATCATTGGAACAAGAAACCAATATCATTACATCTTAGCATCACCAAATTGAAAAAATTTAGCTTCATCTCAGTCTAAGTTTCTAACCTTAGCAGGGTTTTCTCAGCTCCTAAATTCAATTGAATAACAAAACTAACTTTGACCACACAAGCAGATTTTTACAAGGGATGCTGCATCTTTAATGGATGCAGGTTGTGCTTCATTAAACGGTGCGGATCTTCGCTAGGTACTTCCCCATTCCTAGCAGTCATTGGTGAGCCTCCTTCATGTTCGGAGGCTATCTTTTGAAGTTTCAGACTATGATAATTCCTTTTTGGGTATAGCCGAGTCCTTGTCACCGGCATTTCATTCCTTTTCTTTCCATGATTGTCATAGAAGCTCCATAGACATTTCTGGGTTTAGATTATGTTTTTGTCACTTTCTATTAAGGTCTCATGGCATGTACAATCACTACTTTATTTATGTAATGTTTTCAAACTAATGGAAGGCAAATGTTTTAAAGAATGGATCTACATATTAAATCATGCATGGGTTATGGTTAACCAAGTGAAGGTGTTGAGTGTCGTGTCCCACTCCCCATGGTTGGGGCGTGACAAACTGTTCATATTTTCACGCAATAAAGAAAGTAGAAATGCATATATTTAGTGTATACATGCTATAGATTATGGTGGAATGGCATCTTAAAAGGAAAACAATTGACCATCAGCATGTGAAGAATTATCAAAATACATACCTCTGGTGGATGAGCATCTTTACTTTGACCTTTTGAAAGAATCCAATGATGGTTACCAGTGACCGCAGCCCGGCCAATTAGTCTGAGATGCAAAATTAAAGATATAACATATGAAGTAACTCTTCCCAGCTCTCATTTTACGACAGAAAACATCAATAAGCTGCATATAGTAAGGTCATACCCTTCTCCTACTAGATTGAACTGATTGTCCATCATCATTTTGTTTACGAGCAAACGCAAGCTCTCACCTGCTTGATTCAGAAGCTGAGAATTTTGAACCTCACCCGAATCCCAGCAAGCACTCCAGTCTTGGAAAACTAGTTTTGGATTCTCAACTTCACGAGTTCCATGTAAACCAGAGAATGTTGAAGTTTCACAATAAGATTCTTCCCAAATTAAAAGCCTGGCAAACCAAAAAAGATATATCAATTCAGTTGCAGCATTTGGAAAATTTTAATCAAGAATAGAAAAAATATCAGCTAAGTCATTCACAGAAAGTGACAACTCTCTGCATTCCTATTTTGCTAGATTGCTGGAAAAGTGCAAGAAACTAAAGAACAAGAGACAAGAAGCTTGATAATAAGGACATACAGAATCAAACAAAAATGACAAAAACAGTAATAAGTATGTTTGTGTACAGCAGATCATAAGAGTTGAAAGGATTTTTTAAGATTACAACAAATCTACTTTTTTCAACTTCCATTAAGATTCTTGAAGACAAAACACACTGGACAAGCAACAACATTCCAAAAACAGAAAACGGAAGCCACCAGATTACAAATCGAAAACAGTACAACAATATCCCATAAATCAATTACACGTCAAATCATACTGTAATCAACAACAGAATACACAACTTCAGCTCAATTACCACAGATTCATCATACATATCGAGAAAGCTTTATCTTTGGTCAAACAAGGGAGACTGTGAAGAAAGGAACTAAACTCAATAAAATTAGTGACACTCAGTTTACATTTTTGCAGCAATAAAAGGACTATCAGACTTTTAACTTTTTCAGTTGTTACTTTCATTTGCCCTCTATTTTATCAGCAAAGAAAAAAACAATCATCAGCATAAAAAGCCAAAAATGAGAGAAGAACAAGAGTAAGCAAAAATCAAAACAATGCACAAAAAGCAAAATAAAAGAATATACAAATTAGAAATGTGTATACACATTTTTCTCCATTTTGTTAAAAACAAGAAAGCACTTAACTTTGTACTAAAACCAGAAACCAAACTGCCAAAAATTACATCTTTATACTTCCATTTTAATCTTTCTTGAAAAATATAGTTACACCCACATGGAAGATATTAAATAAAACATTAATTAATAACTCACTTGGTGTTTTGGCAACCGATCTTCCAGAAAACAGCATAAGACCACTGGCTTACTCCACACAGAGTTTTTAACACCTCTTTCAGCAAATACCCCATACCAACTTCTGTTTTGTTATGTGTCACTGTGTGTGTGCGTGTGTGTGTATATAACCCCAGAAGGCACCAAAATAATATATTACATACTATATGGACTTCTCAAGAGAGAAAAGACATTTTTTTTTGCAGTAAAGAGTCTAACTTCCCCTGCAAGAACCACGTCCTGCCTGTTTAGTTCTCAATCCACCACTTCTCTTTCTTTGTGGATCCAAATTCACTACTATCATATTCCTGCAACCCATTCTAAGAGTGGAGAGAAAAGTGAAAGAGAGGAAAGAAATAACAAGATAGAGAAAAGCTAAAACTTTTCTCTCTAAATGAGTAAAATGGAGAAGACCCTTTACAGGGAACTACACAATACCACAAGCTTTAAGCTTACAGTTAACAACAACCACAATTTTCTCCATTTTCAGAAAACCCCCAAAAAAGAATTGAAGCAAAAACGAATACTGAGTGTATATAGAAGTAAAGATCAGAACTTTTCAGACAGTTCTTCAATCTTGAGTGGGAAAAAGAATCTCTGGTGAATGTACTAATGTTATGTCACCACTCTGTATGTGTGTGTGTGTGTGTTTCTGGGGAAAAAAGAAAGGCTTTCTGTGAAGGTTATGGTTTGAGTAGTAGTTGAAGTAGTGCTGTTGTGTTTCAGTGTTTATTTTTCTCAGTGCTGACTCTGCTATTTGCTCACTTCTGCTTGGAAGAAAATGGTGGGGAGTGTGCAGCAAAATATTGGTTATGATTAAAACATACAATGGGGAGAGAGTATTAGTTGACAGAAACGGGTTTGGAAGGAGTAGAGAACTACGGTTTTACCACCATGGGGGGTAATTTCTTGTCAGCTTTTGGTAGTCTTTTTCAAATTCAGGGGCTCAGGGCTTTTGTGTTTTGTGCCTTGGGACTGTACATGGAATCTTAGAATTGCTTCTTCTTAGGAAAAAGCAGATTAACATTCTCTTTTGTTCCCGAAAACAATTTTAATTCAAAATATATGCATCTGTATACAGTATATCTTTTTCACGTTATAATAAAGGACTTTTTAGCTTTAAAAAAATACAAACACGTATAAATAAAGATAAATTTTGGTAAAATAAAATTAATTTATTTTTGATTATGTAAACGATATTTATTTTGGATCAAAATAAAAAAATCAAAAAATCACTTATTATGGAGCGGAGGGAATAACAACCAACAATTAATTTATCTAAAAAGACTATAACAAAGATAATATAAAAAGTATTTAGCTATTTATTTAATATGTCTGTATATTACCTACTTTGTGGCCCATGTTATTTGTCTTTTGAAGCAAAAGTAAAAACAATTTAAAAGCAAAAACATATATCAATTTCTATAGCTGAACTATTTAAAGAAGATTTTTCTTAAAACAGTCTATACGTAATAAAGCACGGTAAATAGATTTTCGCAACTCTTTATTATGCCAAGAATAATGCAAAATATTTTGTTTAACGCAATAAAATATTTTTTTATGAAGTTTACAAAACTTGATAATCATTCAAGTAATATCGGTTTTTTGTGGAGTCATTTATAGCATTTTAGTAATGGATCAAAAATATCCTTACTATAAAAATAATATGACCAATTGGCTTAAATGGCTGCCATATGACCCTTTCGTTGACATGTGGATATATTTGTCCAATAATAACAGGACTTGATTTTAACGGGGATAATTTTAAATAATTTTCAATGATGGAGGAATATTTTTAACTCTTTTTTGTTTTAAAACTTACATAATATATTTTGAAACTTAAAAGATTTTTAAAATTATTTAAAATATATTCTTTACAAACTTTTATTTTCATATCATACATCTTTTACTAATCCGCTTATGTTATTGAACGCATCTAAAAAATTTATATTTGGGCATAAAACTAAAATTTCTATATGAGAAAATGCAAAAAGATACATTTGTTCAGATAATCAACACGAGAGTAACAAACGATTAAACCATGTGATATAAGATTCGAATTATAATTGATATTTAGTTTCCAACGAGGAATTTTTTCTTGATAATTTTAAGTATTCTTTTGGATAGATTTATAATATGACTTAAATTTATACACTAATAGTATAACACTATGTACACAATTAGATTATTATATATTAAATAAAAATCAATTTTATAACTAATATTAATAAAATTAATAAAAAAATTATATTTAATTTATCATCGTAAATTAAACTTTACTAATAACATTAACAAGTAGTAAAATATTTTAAAATTTAAATTCAATTTCAATTACTAAGAAATATATATTGAGGAGGAGGTAGTTTATTTGTAAAGCAACCTCTTTTTGCTTTTGGTGGTGTCATGAAAATTGGGGGACCTCAAAGTTTGTACTTTCTCACTTTATCTTTTTCTCTCTTTTTTATTTCCTCTTCTTTTTAATGAGAAGTCTGAGGCTTATTCCAGAGATTGTAGTCATCAAAGGGAGTTGCCCCTAGTGGGAGTCGCTATCAGGATTTTGTTTTACCATAATTACCCTTGTCTTCGATTTATTTTACATCCATGTAATACGTTATTCTTGTATTCTTTTTTTTCTTCTTTTTAAGATAAAACAGTATAAGCAATATGCACTTTGCTATGCTGTAATAGTTAAGTCAACGGAGTTTAAATTTGCTAAGCTTTAATAACTCTTAAAAATATTTATTTGGTAGATTTGCATGTCATCAATTTAAAATATAACAATGGGAATTGACTTTGCATAAGCATGCGTAAACAATAATACCATTATTCTAAATTTTAGGTAAGAAGTTGTATTTCTCTACGTCTAATCTAGCAAAATAATTGTCTATGTGTGGGACGTTATACTTTTATACGTCTGGCATTTTCTCTAGTTTACCATGAAATAGTTTTTACTTGAATAATTACTTTGCAAATCATGGTTACCTAACAATGAATCGGAAAAAATAAATAAATCTGGCCTAGCTACTCCATACTAATAATTATGTTTTAGCTACTGTCCAAGTATTTTCTATAATATAGTGGGATAAAATATATTGGCAGTATCCCAACTTACACGCACCTTATTTATTTCATTGGATACCTGTTATTTTTTATTAGTATAAATATTTTCTAACTTTATCAACTGCAAGGCCACACCACGAAATAGATGCATAGGTGCAGGGGCGGATTTTGGGGAGCAGAAGGGGCGGGTTCACCCCCTTTCACCGGAAAGTTACATCGTACATATAAGGTAAAATCTGATTTGTCTTTATATTTATATTTTGAATTCTCTTGACACAATCCAAAAACATAGCTCATTGGTCAAGGTGGTTCAAAACCTTAATTTGAAAGATTGTTTGTTCAATTCCCACTTTTCATAGTCTTTTTTAATTTTTTTAAGTTTTTTTTTAACTCTCTTAGCGGAAATCCCGCCATTGCGTAGGTGATTAAAGTGGAAATAGATATTGTACTATACTATAATCTGATAACTCATTTTTTTCTTTCATTGTGGATTACCTTATTACCTTTTGTTTTTATTCTGTTTTTATATGACTTTTTGGTACTGTCCCTTCTTGTCTATATTTTCATTAATATGATGCTTATTCTTTCTTGAGCCGAGGGTCTATTGAAAACAGCATCTCTATCCTCACAAGGTAGGGTAAGGTCTGCGTACACACTATCCTCCTCAGACTCCACGGTGTGGGATAAGATTGGGTATGTTGTTGTTGTTGTTATGGTGTTAATTGTACAAGAAAAATGACAAGTCGTTGGTTCAATTGCTTTTTTTGGAACTCTTTTAGTGAAAATACAGCCCTCTACCGTTGCTTTGGTGATTAAAATGAAAAAGATATTGTACTGTACTATAAGGCCTTAATTGTTCAAGAAAAATGTATAACTATGAAATAAGGTCTCCTCGTTACTCCTTCCATCTTCTTGCTTAGGTTATATCAGCAATCTTATATCAATTTAAGAATCAAATGATTAACTTGTAATTGTGATATTTTAACCAGTTCATCTTTCAAACCAAATGATATCATCCACGTTCAAAGGTACCCGTCCCAAAAGTTTACACTTAACAAAACAATTGGCGACAGCCCTTTAATTAATTGCTTGCTACAAATTACAAAGGATATATAGCTTATTTATGCACAAACAATGTCAAACTTTTTTACACTATTAAGTATATTTTAACATGTTGTAACATATAAGTAATCTTATTTTTCAGTTATTAATATCAAGTTTTATGAATTGTTACTTATAGTTAACTTTTAAATGAATTGTTACTTATGAATTAACTTTTAATCTTATTTTTTTAGGAACAATACCTTTTTGGGAGAGTCAAGTAATTAATGCTTTAGCCCCTAAATGTCACCTTATATCCTGACCTCTTCGAAGAGTAATGCCCCTATAAGACCTAAATCACTTGGGGGGGGCAAAAATTGAATCACGTATTTGCACTTTATTCCATTGGTCTTTTGTGGTCCAATCCCTAATGACTAATTTGAATTCGCATCCCGAATGCCCATTAAAAAAAAATAATATTTTCTATCAGAATTTTGTTATGCCTAAAACTCGAATCGAAAACCGCTGATTAAGAGTATAAAAATCCTATTCATTCTCCATATTTTTTTTATGGTGGCCAAGGGTATAACTACTACTAGTGGTAAACTTTGCCCTAATTTTCTTGTGCTCGTGTATGTTATCTTTTTTTTGGTTTAGTTTTTCTCTCTTTTGGTCTCTTTGCTTCTTTTGATAGAAAAGACAATGAGAATTTGTTGAATATCCAACTCTTTACTTTACTAATAATAAATTTCCCAAGATAACATTGATTAAGGTTGATCTAAGAATTATATTCTTCTACTCTCCTTTTCTCGAGTTATTTTATGTTGAGTATGAGTATGGTTGGCTGACATTCCAGTTATTGTCTTTACCTTTTTGCAATTTATTTAATTGGAAAGTAAAAATATTCTTTCATATATTACTATTCAATTAAAATGACCCCTTTTTGGGTCATGTCAATGGTTGATACTTCTATTCTCTATACTTAATAACTTAAAATATTCACACCTGTAAATCTGATTAAAAAGCTCTCCCCATGCACATGGTTGGAGGACTGAAGCAAATCTTGGTTTTTTGTTAAATACATCATACGAAATTGTCTTATCACTTTTTGCTTTTCGAGCAGTAGCTTGCCTAATTATTCGAATCAAACTGGATAGGTATAAATTCTTCATTTTGAGACAATATCAAAAAGATGGTGGAATTAGTGAAACGTTTATCATATCATAAATTCATAATGTGAAAATTCACTATAAAACAAAAATTGTGGCACATTTGACCGTCGAATAGAAAGAACTAACAAACAAATTTGATCAGTGGGAGGGAGTGTCAAGATATGATAAATGGGGATAAGAAGGTCATCTATTGAAAATTGATACTACTTTTTTACTTTAAAATGTGAACAAAGTGTATTAGAAAACATTAAAGTTCAAAGCCACCCTTTGTTAGATTGTTAAAACTAGGATTCAATCTATATAAAAGATTATAATATATCTTATAACATTGACATAAAACCAAGGAGCGGAAACAGAATGCCTCCATAAAGGAAAAGAAGAGACTCGGAGAGAATATAATAAACTAAAAAAAAAACAAAAATCAAAATGGAGTTGGAGAACTATATAAAAAAAAAAAGGCATCACNAAAGGAAAAGAAGAGACTCGGAGAGAATATAATAAACTAAAAAAAAAACAAAAATCAAAATGGAGTTGGAGAACTATATAAAAAAAAAAGGCATCACAATGAATGTAGCATGAAACACAGAAGGCCCCGTAATTTTTTTTTTTTTTTTTTTTTTTTTGTGCTTTAATAATTCTAAGAAATGAAAGTCAATAGTAAGTTAGCTCTTTTTTTATTGTACGTCTAACGGGCAAAGGGAAACAAACAA